AACTAGCCCTCTGCTTTCAAGATTTCAAGAAACTCATGAAACTTTCACATGCAGAGCTATTGCATATAATAAATATTTTTATTTTAGGACAAGGCAGGCGGCGTCTAATAATATATACATGGTAGGTAAAGGAATATTCACTACAGTGCTGTTTACACTAGCAAAAAGATTAGAAGAGCCTAAATGGTCAAAACATGGCATATGTGGCATGAATGAGTTTTTTATGTACTGATACAAAATAGTCAATCCTAACACATTATGAAGGCATTAAAAACAAGGTGCAAAAACAAAACAAAACAAAACAAAAACAAGGTGCAGAACAATGCATATATATATTCTATATTATTTGTGGGGGAAAAAAATAACCCCAGAATATCTTTGGAAGGTACACAGGAAACTGGTAATAGTGGTCTCCTACAGAGAAAGAAACTGGCCAGCTGAAGGTCAGGATGGGGTTAACTACTTTTCACTGCATACCCCTCTGTACCATGTGGATATGTTACCTAATTTAAAAAAATGTTTTTAAAGGAATGTTTGCTTGAACTTCATACCTATTTTGTAGTGCTAAAATGAAATTCAGATTTCTGGTTAGGAAGAAGGCATCTTAGATAAAGGACTGAGGAGAACTGCCCGCCCTGCCTGGAAAAAACACTTTGTCCCCACAGTGGCTGCTCTAGGACTTTCACACTCCTATTGCTAACTCCACCATTCTCTGATCACCTGGTTTAAAACTTTAAAGTTGTCTTTGATTTTTTTTTCTGTATTCTCCTCACAAGCAGCAAATCATGTTCTGTTCCTTCCTCCTTGACTATTTGTCCCTTCTTTCTCATTTCCAATACTATCATAGTTGTCTAGGTATTAACCATATAACTGAATTTTTTGACTTAAGTCTTTGAAATGGCTTTCTCCTTCCAAAACATGCTACCAATTACAACTACATTTATCTTTCTAAAATAATGCTTTCTATGCAATGACCTTACTCAATAGCTTCTAGCTGATTCTTGATTACCTGCAGGTTATAAGATCAAAACTTCTCAGCCTGGCACTTACAGCGATCTACTGTCAGGTACAATGTTTAAATTCTCAACTTAGCCAATGAGGAGACTGTTTTCAGAATGCTGTGATTTTTCCAAAGGACTCCTGCCTAGGATGTTCTATTCTCCTTTCTACTTATATAAGCCACATATACCACAGATCGAATCCTATCATCCAGGAAGCCTGCCAAGACCTGTTAGTTCATAGTAACATCAGTCTGTTCTGAACTCATATCATACCCTTCTTCTCTACTCATTTGGCAATTAATCACACTGTAAAAGGGGGCATCTGTTGCACCTCACTTTTATTTCTGCTATTTAATACAATTGCCATGATCTACCTATTCATATTTTATGTCATTTGTTTTATATTTCATGGCATCATTACACAGCACTTATTCTCTCTCTCTTTTTTTTAAATTTTTTAATTTATGATAGAGAGAGAGAGAGAGAGAGAGAGAGACACGAGGAGGGAGAAGCAGGCTCCATGCAGGGAGCCCAACATGGGACTCGATCCCGGGACTCCAGGATCGCGCCCCGGGCCAAAGGCAGGTGCTAAACCGCTGAGCCACTCAGGGATCCCCCACAGCACTTATTCTCAAAACACTTTTATTAAAAAACAATTAAAATTCTTAGAATCATGATTACCCATATGGTCATGCCCAAACTACTTCTGTTTACTGAACTATAAGATAGAATTAAAATTTGAAAAAGCTTACCATGAAATTTATATAAGCCACCAAGGTGATCTAGTAGAGTCTCCAGTGATTTGGAAACTGGAAGCAATTCTAAAAATCTGTGGATTACTATATCAAATACTGGGAGAAATCGAAGACACACATTTCCAAAATAGATGGGTAGATAGGGAGACTGGATCTGCACAGGGGGATCAACCTGCTCTGCCAGGCCCTCAAAATATAGTTTCTCAGGGTATTTCTGTGGAAGTAAGAAAACAGCAAATGTTCAGGATATCCTTTTTTGTTTTCTTAAAAAAAAAAAAAAATTAACCTATTTAAATTTGTCATCTTTAAAAGAATATGAAACCATGTTTATTTTTTGCAATGCAATGAAATAAATCTAGAGTCTTTTACTTGACAAAAATCTCTATTATCCCAAAGATATATCAAGAAATTTATGTATAAAGGAATTTGTAATAACCCTTTCATTTAGTATGTAAGTACTCAATCTACTAAAACCATAGTCTCGATAAATTCCGAACAGTAGAGATACTCTAACAGAATCTTGAGAAAGTTTAGAGAGTTAATTTCCTTCTCTATAGAGAGAAAACAATAGAACCACACAGAGAAAACAGCCAAACCAATTAGCCAAATACCCAAGAAGAGCTTAAAAAAGATTCACTGAAGCACTGATTTGAATTAGTACCTTGTGATAATTCATATGCTTGGTGTGCCAGTCGTTCTGTAGCCAGTGCTCTGGAGAATTTTCCTTCACAAAATCACTTACTCGATTTCTAAAATCATTTGGTTTGAGTAACAGCAACTGAATTATGAAATAACAAACCTGGGCTTCATTTCCTTCATGACTACGCATGGCCTTTGGAAAACAACAGAAAAATGATATTATAATGTCTGAACTGTGCAAAAGCATGGCTTTGGTACTAGACAGTCTATATTTGAATACGCTAATATCCCACTACTATTAGAATTTCATTATATGTCTAATTTACCCTTAACTGTTCAGAATTCCCCCAAGTGTATTTAACTTTCATTTTTAATTTTTTGATTTAAATTTAATTTTTATTGGTATTCAATTTGCCAACATATAGAATAATACCCAGTGCTCATCCCGTCAAGTGTCCACCTCAGGGCCCGTCACCCAGTCACCCCCACCCCCACCTACCTCCCCTTCCACCATCCCTAGTTTGTTTCCCAGAGTTAGGAGTCTCTCATGTTGTCTCCCTTTCTGATATTTCCCACTCCTTTTTTCTCCTTTCCCCTTTATTCCCTTTCAGTATTTTTTGTATTTCCCAAATGAATGAGACCATATAATGTTTGTCCTTCTCTGATTGACTTATTTCACTCAGCATAATACCCTCCAGTTCCATCCACATCAAAGCAAATGGTGGGTATTTGTCGTTTCTAATGGCTGAGTAATATTCCATTGTCGTATTTAACTTTCTTGCCCATTTTTGGTTCTCATCATTCCTTCTGCCCAAAGTGTCCTTCTTATTTCTTTTGTTGAAATCTAATCCAACTGTCAAAATCTCTCACTTAGATAGATGTGGTTTCTCATTGTTGCCTGGTGATATTTTCCTTATATCTCTATCTTATCTTTGTATTTTACCGATTTACAGACAGCTCATTTCTCCTACTATATCATAACCATATTTATATTTATATTCCATAGCTAGGAGGTTAAAGTTAATCAATTAAGCCACCCTAAATATCACCACTATAGTATTTTTTAAAAAGTAGCATTTTCCAGCCTGGCTCAGTGTCTTCTCTTAAAATTCTTCCTGAAATAGATATCAAGTCAAGAGGAAAAATCATTTGGGGAATATTGAGTGGTTATCAGAAATATTCAGTTCTGACTCTGACTGCCAAAGTATACAGAAATGATTATTAGCACTCTGCAAAGAAATAAAATGACTTTTTACCACTTCCTGCCTCTAATGAGAGCCTTGGGAATCAACTCAGGGCCTAATTGCTTGTACTTTTACAGCATCACGAGGCCAGATCATGTCTGCCTTATTTACTTCTATATTTTCTGTGCATAGAACACAGCAGATATTTAATACACACTTGCTGAATGAGACAATGGGAAATCTCCAGTTCCTTAGGGAAGTGATAACAATGCTTGATTATAGTATAATTGCCTTAAATCCTTACAGATCATCAGCACAAGATCCATCAGTCACACACCATGATCTAAAAGAGAGTGAAGTAGCTTAGAAACTTGTTCTTGTAAGCATATTCTTACCAGGCAGAGAATCAATCTGTCCAATGTAACAATGTTATACTTCCATACCATGTCATTAAGAATTTCAATGCATTTGTTGAGTTGCTGACCTCCAGCTGATGTAGAGAACTCATATACTAAGAAATCTGCAAATGTTCTCACATGGGCTACCAAGGCCCTGGCTCCAATTCTTTCTAATACTCTGGAAAGCAGAGAGTAAAAACTAAGTTATATCGCTATGTGGTATAACAGCTTGTTAAATAGAATGCAGATCTAGGTTTCTGGCTTACCTATAGCCAATCTGATTAATATGATCTGTTTCCAAGAGCATTTTCCAGAGAAGACAAAGGAAGAGAGGAGGAGAGCCTTGCATAGAGAAGTGGGTAATGATGTCATTTTCATTGGTCATTGACTTCCACTTCCTATATTCCTCCTCCACATTTTTTTTCAGATTAAAACGGCTTTCCTGAGGTACGTTATTCTGCTTGAAGAATGCCTAAAAGGAAGATCAAAAGTTTTTTATACTAAAATGAAGAGCACTGGCCAGAGTCAAGAAATCAGTTCTGGACTTGATTCTGACACTATTAAACTCTATGTGACCTCAGGTAATTAAGTAATCAAGGTGTGAATTTCTTTTCTTTTTTTTTTTTTTCAAGGTGTGAATTTCTATAAAGGGAAAATATACAGGCTTGACTAGATAATCTCTAAGATTCTTCTTAGATTTCCTAAATAGATATTCCAAGCAAGCCTGAATTCAAAGCTTCCTCAAACATCTGTTGATATTTCTGTTTGTCTTTGGGAAAAAGAAAAAAAAAAAGAAAGAAATTATGTGCCTTTTGGTTATATATTTTAGTATCTCTAAAAGGAAAATCCATTATACTAAACCAATGGGTCTCAGACCTCCTGTTTTGGAAGTTCAGCAGTCTGTATCTGATCAAGCCTCTAGGTAATTCTACCAAGTTTGAGAGTTACTTGCCCTAGCCCTGTTGGAAGTTCTATAAAGCAGATATTCATTATGTTTAAACTTTTCTCTGAAAAGTAGAGGACAGCTTTGCGCAGTGGCAGTATTGCAGCCAATGAGGTCTATCCGAGGCACGATTATTGCTCATTGAAAAGTAGAGGACAGATGAGGTTTTCCTTTTTCCATAGTATAAAAGCCAAGTTTGTAGTTTTTCTCTCTGTATGATTAAAAAAAAATTCAGTCAAGTGCAACAATGTGTATTCTATGAAGCTCTGTTAAGTTGTATTTCTCCCCATTTCAGTTCTAAAAAAGAGAAAGAATTTTTCAGGTAATGTGTTAATTCTCACAACATTCTAAAATTGTTAACTAATAACATGAAACCATAATTAAATTTTTAGGAACGTATCCAGGCCTAGAGTAAGTCAGGGAACAACTCAAGAGACTTTGGAGTAGTACAGGTTTTTAAAAAAAGAAACAGAAGCTAATTTCCTTTGGATATCGCTAAAACCAGCTCTCTAGAATTACATTAAATGGGAAGAAATGAATTAATTGGAAAAAAATGACTTCATATATACTAAATGGAAGAATGATTTTGTATATATTCAATATATAATTCAAGACCAAATTACCTGTAGTGGGCCTGGAAAGCAGCTAAGAGTGTGTGATGCCCAATTATGAGGAGTAAAACTCATGATGGTCTGAAGTATGTCTTTACACCAAGTTCCCTGAATTGAATCAGAGCCTGTAAAAAAATCTAAACATAAACAAACAGAGGTAATCCAGATATAAATGATCATACCCATAATTCATAAATGGTATCATAGAAAAAGTAAGTTATGTACACGCATTGAATTTCACGGCAATACACTCACTGCTTAACTAGTTATATTCAGTTTAGACCTAAATTTTCTTAGTTTATGATTTGAATGATTACATTAGTAAATGATTACATTAGTAAACATGAACACAATTAGTGAAAAGAAGACAAAAGACATTTCAATCTATTTTTTTTTTTTTAAGTAGGCTCCATGCTCAGCATGCAGCCCAACTCGGGCCTTGAACTCATGATCCTAAGATCAAGACCTGAGCTGAGATCAAGAGTTGGACATTTAACAGACTCCCAGGAGCCTCTGTAATCTTTTTTTTTTTAAGGTTACAGAGCACCAATGATCTAACAGTGACATAGGCCCACCATGATCGCTCATGTAGTTCAGTCTGACAATGAGGTATCAACACTTTATTGAGCCAAGGAAACAGAATTGAGAAAATATATCTTTTCCAGTGGTTGAAATAGCTATAGACTATAACTCTCTAAATCAAGAAGGTTAATTTATTGGGACACCTGGGTTGCTCAGCGGTTGAGTGTCTGCCTTTGGCTTGGGTCGTGATCCCGGGGTCCTGGGATAGAGTCCTGCATCGGGTTCCCTGCAAAGGAGCCTGCTTCTCCCTCTGCTTCTCTTTGTGTCTCTCATGAATAAATAAATACATAAATAAATCTTAAAAAAAGGGTTAATTTATGTAAAATAAGATAGTTTACACAGATGTATCTGAGGTTGCCAAATTCAGTAACTATTTCTTTAAAACAGCAATTCTCAAAGTGTGGTCTGTGGACTCTGTGGGTCCCCAATATCCTTCCAAGGATTTGATGAGGTCAAAACTATTAAAATAGTAATACTAAGATAGTACTAAACTTTTTACTCTGTTCATATGTGCAACAGTGGGGCAAAGGTAATGGTAGGGAAAACTGAACAAGCCCTCAGAACAAGTCAAACAGTGGCACCAGACTATACTAATAGCCACTGTAATCTTCACTATACTCTCGCTAGGCAGCGGCGGGGGGGGGGGGGGGGGGGGAGGGGCGGTTGGGAGAAAATGCAGGTTTTACTCTAGAATATCCCTGAAGTAGTGAAAAGGACTGTATCTTAGCCCTTAAATACATCTAATTTTGTTGTGATAAAAATGGAAGTATGCAGAGTCCTAGCTACACACTGAAGTATGATAGGCATCTAAAGGAAAAGTACTTGTGCAATTGTCTGAATATCAAATTAAATTAGCTCTTTTTTTAAATGGAATTCCATTTTTACTTGAAAGAACATCTGACAGAAAAACTACAGTTATTCAGACTTGGGCAATAAGCAGCATTTTCTTGAACAAAGGGAACCTATTACTTCAAGGAAAACAAATGACCACATCTTTTGCCAATGATAAAATTTGACTTGTCAAATGAAAAAAATCAAAGTTTTGGAAAACTTCTATCCACTACTATAAGCTTGATAGTAATCCAAAACTTAAAGATTTTCCTAATGAAATTTGCAGTGATATTAACAAATGTAATTTTATGATATTGCATAATGAAGTGTGCCAACATTTATGAGATCTACGTAACTCACTGGATCAATGTTTTCCAAAAACTAATTCATGAAGTTATAAAATATGCATGGATAAAAAAAAAATCCATTAGGTATGCAAAATAGACCAAATGATTATAATGTAATAGAGTACAAAAAGTTTACTGAATAGAATTTTGGATCTACACTGCAACTAACATTTAAGAAACCATCACTTGTCCAATTTTGTGTGACATCAAAGAACATTGGCAATTATCTGAAAAGGCTATTAAGATACTCCTCCCCTTTCCAACCTCTTACCTGTGTGAGGCTATATTTTTTTCAGTTCTAAAATAACATATTTCAATAGATGAAATGTAGAAGTAAATATGAGTATCCAGCAAAGCTTCCTTTACATTAGATATTAAAGAGAGATGCAAAAAATGTGAAACAATGGTGCCTTTTCTCACTAAAGTTTTGTTTTGAAGAATATATAGCTTATTTTTCACAAAAAAATGCCATTATGCTAATATGTAACAAGTTTAATATTAAGTGAATCAAAAATATTTAAAAAGCATCTAATAACTCAGTATATATTAACTAAATTGAATTCAAATAAGAAAATTTTAAAAGCATCAATCTTGATAACTAATAAAGTAAATATTGATATAATCCATATAAATGGAAAATCTTTGGGAATTTCTTTTTTTATTTTTATGAGTATAAAGTGGTCCTGAGACCAAAAACCTCAAGAACTACTATTTAAAAATGATGTAAAAAAGCTGAAAACTGAAGCTCAACCTAGTTAAAGTGATAGTACACAGAAGAACCTATATTAATGGTTGAAATGGTGAAAGTCTTAACACAACTTTTTTTTTTTAAACAAATGAAATGGATCTTTTCAGTATATTATCCTCTTAATAATCAGTAGGGACATAGCATACTTTAATTCATCTGTTTTTGTTGGTGGTGGTTGCATGTTCACTGTACCTGTTACATGAGTTGCTCTAGCTAAGGTCAGTATCAAGGCTCGGTTCAGCTCTTCAGATTCTGCAGACAGCACTGTTTTGGGATCACTCAGGAAGCGTGTGAACTGTGGCTGTACCTCTGAGCTCCCTAATGCTGTTATAAGCCTAAGTGCAGTGCTCTCAACGCTGAAAGAACAAAAAGAAATATGAAAAAGTTGCATATAAAATTTCACAATTATAGAATTAAATCTAAATCTAGGTTAATTAAACTGGAAAAAAATACGCAAACTATGAATTCCTCTTCTTTGATTAAACACACACACTTCTCCTTTATGTGAGAATGAGCTTTGTTTAATATGTTTTAAAAACCTGAGTGCCAAATTTTATAACAAAACTGTCTGACAATATTTACACACTTGAAAAAGACAGCTTGTAGCTTATAGGACTAAACAATTTCACCTGGATATACAGCACTTCAAAAATTCCATTTTTCAATCTGAAATATATTTTCACTTAGAGCAAAATTAAAGGGACATGATAATTTAATGGTAATCTGAAGTGTATTTAAATCCAACATTCAAAAGGGCTAAATTAGAACATTTTGTCAAAGGCGTTGGAAGTACTTATTCTCAGGCCAAAGATCACTAGGCAAGGACTAAACTACCTTAATAACTTTCTATTTATTTATTTTAAGATTTTATTTATTTGAGAAAGAGAGTGACAAAGAGTACGAGTAGGGGGGTGAAGAGAGGGAGAAGCAGACTCCCTACTGAGCAGGGAGCCTGTCTTGGGGGTCGATCAGAGGACACTGGGGTCATGACCTGAGCCGAAGGCAGATGCTTAACCAACTGAGCCACCCAGGAACGCCATTAACTTTCTATTTAAAGAGCTATCCTGGGGGCACCTGAGTGGCTCAGCTGGTAAGCATCTGCCTTCTGCTCAGGTCATGATCCCAGAGTCCCCAGATCGAGCCTCATGATATGCTCCCTGCCCAGCAGAGAGTCTGCTTTTTCCTCTCCCTCTGCCACTCCCCACACTCATGCTCATGCTTTCTTGTTCCTTGCACTCTCTCACAAAGAAATAAATAACAAATCTTTAAAAAATTAAAAATAGGGATCCGTGGGTGGCTCAGTGGTTTAGCGCCTGCCTTCGGCCCAGGGCGTGATCCTGGAGTCCCAGGATCGAGTCCCGTATCGGGCTTCCTGCATGGAGCCTGCTTCTCCCTCTGTCTGTGTCTCTGCCTCTCTATGTCTCTCATGAATAAATAAATAAAATCTTTAAAAATAAATAAATAAAAAGCTGTCCTCTACTTCTTCTGTATTGGAAATAAAATACTCTAGAAGCAGAGGAAATTTATGACAAATGAATACAAATACTATAAAGGACTAAGTTTCCTGTGTCCAACAAAGTTTCTAAGAAATCTAAAGGAAAGATCATCATCCAATAGCTCACCAGAGATGGAGCTGGTTTTGGTTTGTTTGTGCAACTGCGGCTAGAGTATGAAGATGGCTCAGAAGCTGCACTCTGTAATGAGGCTGGATGTGGTGCATCCGGTAGCTAAACATCTCAAGAAGTGTGTGTAATATCCCCCAGGCATGGGACTTGAAAACAGTTGGCAAAAGTTGACCTTCAGGAACAAGACAATTTAAGGCACCAATTATAAAAGTTGTGAATTCAAAGACATTGAAGAAAAGTCACAGGCAATAAAATCTATGTAAGACTTGATCATGAACACATACACACACGCACACACACACTTTCCAAAATTTTTCCATAATTCCTCTTTAACGGTAAGGAAAAAAAAATCCATACCCTAATCACAATTACCAAGTTAATGGTTATAAACACCAGAAAGTCCTGTCTTACTGATAAATCCTTTGATGCCCAAAGACTCTATTTCCATATAGACCAATAAACGACTGTACGTTTCCACTAGGG